GAAATGGCCTCAAGTTGCGCCAGGGGAGGTTTAGATTGGACGTGAGGAAAAATGTTTTTACTGAAAGAGTGGTTAAACATTGGACCAGGCTGCCCAGGGAAGTGGTTGAGTCCCCATCCCCGGAGGTATTTAAAAGATGTGTAGATGAGGCGCTTAGGGACATGGTTTAGTGGGCATGGTGGTGTTGGGTTGACGGTTGGACTCAATGATCTTAGAGGTCTTTTCTAACCTTTATGATTCTACGATTCTACTTTCCCCTTGATCTCGTTGCAGAAAGGTCACAAAGAGTGCTGAAAATGGTGTAACCGGTAGGAAACATATGCGGCTTTAAAATAGTCAAATGTTTATTTCTGGCTGTAGTACATGCAAAGTTTGAATAACAGTCCAAGATGAAGTTTTATGCTAGTTTGCACAAAGTAGTCTTCTCACATCCAACTTAGTCTCCTTCTCTTAGATTTTTGGATCATTCAGAAATAGTCATAGTCTCTGGTTTTGCTTATGTCAAAATAAATGAGGTGGACATAGGATTTTTCCTGCACTTCAGCATTCCTAATCTAATTCCATTTTTTTGCTAGGTTTGAATTAATTTTCAAATAGGCTTTGTACTTTTAAATATTTCTAGGCTGTGTTTGTCAGAACGATGGCAGTAACTTCAGTATGAACTTTACTCTTTGGAAAATAAAAAGTCTGAAAAATGTTAAAGTAAACCAGAAAGTGCTGAACTGGCTCTTACCCAACTTAATATTGCAGATGTATTGGAATCTGAAAAGACAGTTTAAAGGATTTGATAAAGAAACAAGTGGGGGCTGAGTGAACAGCGTAAGCAAAAGATTGTAAAAGTGACTTCTCACAGGTTAGCAGCCAGCAAGGGCCGGGAAGCTGTGGAAGTGGCAGAAGGATGCTATAGTAAAGGTTGCTAGGCTACTGCGTGGGAAGCATTTACGGAGCACTACTCAGCTCTGCTGAGCATTTTTACTACCTAGCTGCTAAGTAATCTGTGTATAGTATTGCTGTTTTCCTGGCTGCCGGATGGAAAGGGAAGTTTGAACCGCTAAGAAACATTGTCCCTTTGTAGGATGAAACTTGGCCACGTGCCAGTTACTACCTTTTGCAAGACTGACTGTTTTTGGTTTCGGTCACATTGACTGACAAGGAATGCCAGGAATTCTGCTGAACATGTTTGAAACGGAATAGCAAACAATAGGTCTTTGATTCAAGTATAAAAGTATAAAAACTCTTGCATGAATTTAACTTGTTCTGGTGGTGCTGACTGGTGAGCTCTTGGTTTGTCTGTACCATTTTGGCCTTCATTTCTGTGTTAAGAAGCTTACTGAAAATGGAATGTGGGTTCTCTGTTTTTCATATGGATTTGATGTCATTTTTGAAATATTTATAAGACTGCAGTTAATCCATACCAGTAAAAATTATTTCTGGCAATTGCAAATGCAAGGTCTTCAGTTTTTCCTCTGTAAGGGAAGGTAATTCTTCATCTGCTTTTTTATTAATGGGTTCCCTGTACTGTGTTTTTCTGTACATATAGTTCGAGAACACATGCGTTTGTGATTCTTCTTATTTGTGATTTAACCTTTGATCTTTGGCCCAGGAGATCATTTTTAACAGAAAGTTAAAGCTAACAGTTACTACCACAGGCGGTGACAGAGGAACTGAATGCAGAATTAAAATTCTGGTGTGTTGTTAATGATTCCTTTGCACCTGTTGTCTTTCTCCTTGTGAGCTCTGACACAATAAGCCAGCTCCATTTCTTTTAACACTATTTTGTGAAGGTGTGTTACAACTCTGCCAATACTGTTGTGTTACGAACAAGTCAGATGCTGAATACACACCGTAGGATGCAACAGCAAAAAAAAGATAATTTACTCTTTAACATCCATGAAGGTGCAGTGGATATAATGTAATATGGATTTGATCCAAGTCCAGTGTCCTGTTGCCAGTTGGGGACTCCCAAGGCAAGCTAACTCCCCTGGTATATAGTCTCCCAACTTGTACTGATTTGCGGCCCGGGGATTTCTTGAACTTAAACCTACTTTTTTGATGTAAATGTTCTTTATGGAGTTGTCTTCTGTGAATTTGTGTAGGTGCTTTTTAAATCTATGTAAAATAATAGCATTCACATACTATGCCAAGAATTCCAAAGTTCATCTAAGTGTATGTTGTGTGAACAACTGCCATGTGTTTGATTCTTACCTGCTAATTTTGCTCAATGATGTCCACTTCTTGTGTTGAGAAACTATGAACAATTGTTACCTATAGCTTTCTTAGTTATAGATTCTGTTCTCAGCTGTTTCTTTTCCTGGGAGAAGACTCCTTGGCTATTAACCATTCCTTGTAGCTGTGGATATGCTGTTTTGAGCACCCTGGTTGTGTCCTACTCTGTGCCTCTTTCAGTTGTTACATACTTTTTGAGATGAGTAGGAGCCAGGATTGGGTGCAATATTAAGGATGGATTTTATACAGTGGCGTAATGTGTCTTACTTTCTTTTCTAAGTCTTTTATAAGAATTCTTAACATTTCTTTTTGTTTTACTACCACTGCTATTTTTATTACTTCAGAATCTGTTCCAAAGTAAATACCTTTTTCACAGCCTGTCATCATCTGTGGGATGTTAGGTTTCCGGGCTTTCTTAAACTTATGTGCTTTACTTTACATCTCTTTACAGTGGATTTCTTGTGCTAGTTTAATATCTACTCACACAGTTGCATAAAGAACTCATGACACTGTAGGTATTTCTCACTTTTATAGCTTAGAATAGGTTAGAATTATCAAAAACCTTTTTCATGTTTATAAAAATTGCAATAATATTTTCACAACATTTAAAGTATACAATTATCTGTGCAGTACAACTTGTATGTGAAGTTAATAAAAGGACTGGATATTTTGATTTGATTCCCATTGCATTAATTTACAAAATCTTTTGCAGTTTTGTTGCTAGAGAAGATGGAACATGATGACATTTGTAATAAAACTCTGAAGATTACAGACTTTGGTCTGGCTAGAGAGTGGCACAGAACAACCAAAATGAGTGCAGCAGGGACATATGCGTGGATGGCTCCAGAAGTTATCAAGTCCTCCATGTTTTCTAAAGGAAGTGATATTTGGAGGTAAGAAGTCTGTCTGCTGAAGACCGTGTTCAGTAGAACTATGTTGAGGTTTTTGAATGAATTTTTATTTGGATTTTTTTGGTGGTTTCTTAGGTTATTGTCTCAGCATATGGCAAGTATAGCTATTCTAAGAAACATATTCATTTCTCCCTGTCTAGTTCATGTGATCTACCTTCAGTTATTCATGACTTACAAATTGGGGGAGGGAGAGGGAAAATAACAGGAAAACTTTTTTTTTTTTAAGAAAGCAAGATCTCATTAAGAGAAGCCTTTAAAATATCTATTGGTTAAGATACTTAAGTACTTTATCTGGAGTCTTAATATAAACAGCCATATGCTCGATACATTAACATATGATTGATCTCGTATTGGTATGTTTACTTTGTATCAGATGTCTGAAAACTCTCATTCTGCGTAAAGAAATGGGACCAGCCAGTTATTACCTTATATGTCTGATAAATAAAAATATACTGCAAACCAGAACTTTGCCAAATGTTAACTTAGTGCTGGTTTTTAGGAATCTAGAATGTCATCATGTGTAAAAGTGAACATCAGATCTAAGCTTTTATATTTATGGAGATTTTGCTTCCAGTAGCTGGAGTGAGGACAGTGTGTTCAGCACAAAATTGTTCTAACTTGCTCTCTAATTTTAAAGGTGGGGAACTCCCTATGTTAAATTTGTGAATTTCTCGTTAAAGACATTATTGTGGATCATATAAATAATATGGCTCTCAATACTGATGCTATTTTTGAGTGATGTAGTGTGGGATACGTGTGTTGTAGAAAGGTAATTTAAACTTTAGTTTTAATTTAGTTCTGTTTTGTGAGTGGGGAAGAGCAGTGATTGCACAATAGGCTCTAAAAGCCGCTGTGCCTCACCCTGAAAAGTCTACATTTCCTTTCTTTTTGAAATGTTTTCTCTCTGAAGGATCCAAGGTAGCTATTTGGGAAAGGAGGGGAGGACTTTAATCTGTTTTATCATGCCTTCTTATGCATGTTCAGTGTTGTATAATTCTTAAATAGGGTCCTATCTTGCTTAGATGCCTGATATTCTACAGCATGAAGTAATACTTTTGGTATTCTCAGGATGATTCTATATCTGCACTACTGTTTTGTGACACCCATTTGTCTTGTGGCTGGAACTGATTTTCAGCATTTTGTTTACATCAGTTTGAGTTGATGCCCAGTTGAGAAACATCTTTGGCTTCATTCTTTTTTTTTCCATTCTTTCTTCCTTTTTTCTTTAATTTTTTTTTTTCTTTTGCGGGGTGGAGGTTGGGTGTAGGCGTTTCCCTAATCAGCTGTATTCCATGCTTAATTACAGGTCCTGTCCAGTCTTGTTGCTGTGATTTTAGGTATCTGAGGGGGTATGCTTTGGTGCAATTATTTTATATTCTGCTGCAACATTAGTTTACATTTTTGGAACCTACAGTATTTCTCTTCTTCGCCTTCTCTCCTGCACGCCTCTCTTGTAAAAATGTAAGTATTTAGCTCAATGCTGGACATCTAACAGGAGAGGTTTTTGGGTAGAAAGGCTGTGTTGTACAGTATAGTTTAGACCTTCTTGGCTTCTAAAGATTTCCTGCTTACTGCACCTTGATCTATTCTGTTGCTTATCTTTACTCTTTCTTTACAAGAAAAGCAAATAAAGAATACCCTGGTTATGGGAGTGTTTTTTGTTTTAAAAAGCATTCAGGTTACAAATTTAAGTAAAGTATGGGTCTCTCTAAGACAAGAACACAATTATATGTCAGAAAAGTTCTAAACTTCATTTACATGTACTGAGTCTCCAAAAGAAGTCTGCAGACCTCTTGTTAAAAAGAAAAAGAAAAAAAAAGAGCAGTTGAGGAAGGTCGAGTATAGTCACATTTACAGCTAGTCTTCCAGAATCAGCCAGTGCTCGGAAGTGTTGCGGGAGTATTTTCGTGCAGAGCCTTCCAGGCTGCATGTTCTCAGGTGTCATCCTAGATAGCAGAACTGGTACTTTCTAGGCCCTGCATGTGTATCCTTTTGCTTCCCAAACCAGAGTTATAACTACTGCATTTATTATTCTTTGGCATATGCTTCCAAATTCCCAAACAAGAATTGCAATCTTTCAGTCCTACCCTTCCACCAATCATCACACATTTCTTAGTGGTATGTCAGTCTTGGTTTTGTGTATAGAGCCTGAAAGTGCAAATATGCCCACAGATTTCCAAGTGCTGGTGGTGTGCTTCAGCAGTGGTCTTTACATTGACGCACGCCTCCCTTGTACAAGCTCTTGGCAAAGCTAGGAAGCACTTATTGTACAGCAGAATTGGCAGCTGCTTTTGCCTGGCACATTCATATAATTTTGAAGTGATTCATGTAGCAATGCTTAGTAACCTCTGCTTTAGAAGATGGATTGTAGAGTAAAATAAACTTTGAGAACTTTAGTTACCTTCATTTTGATCAGCTTTTAAAATATGTAAAAACAGCAAGTTATTGCTGGTGTGAGATATAGTAAGGCTTAAATCACATTTGACGGCAGGAGAATAATTTTTAATAATGAAAATACTTAAAAGGATGTCTTTTTGAAAGTGTATTAGTTTTCGTGGTTTAAAAATGTATAATTCAAGCATGTTATGCCTGTATTTTTGGCCTTTTGCTGAAGATGGAAAAGGAGATGGCTTTTGCTCTTTTAAAAAAAAGCTGTTTCTTAGAAACTCTGACTGTATACATAGGACAACTGTACATGGGCTGGTAAAATTCAATGCACAAAATAGCTACTTCTGTAGTTGAGAGAGTTAATAAGCAGTTGTCCTAGATAATGATAGATTAGTATCTCCCAAAAACTCCAGCGTGGCAGGACTAGAATGTCTAGGGTTCCTCTGCACAGTTTTCCCCCCCGCACAGTGCTGGCTCTTGGTACTTGATATTAAGACTGCTCTCGTTAAAAGAGACACTTTCAGGCTATTACTGTGTTGGTCTGTTTAAAATTTTACAACCACCTTCTTGGCACTGTTGAAAACTACTTAGGATTAAAGGCTTGAATTGTAAATATAACTAAAGCTAATGTGTGGCACAACATTTTATAAAAAATTATTTCTTTGTAGTTAAATTTATCATTCTGCTTAACTTCAGAGTTCATGCTAAAATATGTATAGAATAGTCTGAACAAGAGAATTCCTTGAATTAAGAACAGTCTACGCTTGCTGAGAGAGCATGACATTATTTTTATGTTTTCTCTAAGCACACAGATGAGGTTTAGTTCAGTAGAATTCCCCCATCATGCATGAAATGTGTATGTACTGCAGGAAGTGTTGTACTCATTATTTTCAGAAGTACCACTGATTTAAAACAAAATTGGAATTCATTATTTCATCCCTCTTTGAGTATACAAGCAAGTGCAGAGGTTAGATTGGAAAAAATCGGGAGGAAATTATTAAGAAGCCCAAGACTTTTCTTTTTTATTCTGTTTTGTAGTTTTTAGGAATAGGCCGTATTTGACTGTATTCATCAGCTTTTGATTAACTGTTAACACTATAAATTCATTAGTTTTCTAAGATTTTATGATAGGCAAAACTTCCTAGATAAACAGAATGTAGATAAACAAAACACTGCTGATATTCGTGCTGATATTGTGTAGTTTGCTGTTTTATTATTTATTAAAGTTATGTTGTAAGGTCTTGTATAATGCTGAATGACTTTTTCTCATTAAGGAGGGAGTGATGGAAAACCTTAACTAGTGTGTGTTCTTCTCCCTGTCACATCTGCTGTAGTTGAGGTGGTATTTCTAGTACTAAGGGGTACATAATAAGGGAAGGGGTATATAGCCCTTACCTCCCCAGTGCTGTATGTATTTCTCCTCATGTAGGAGAGTTCAATCCAGTCCTGCAAAACTTGCGGGTAGTTTCTTCACACACCTGGAGAGAAAGGGCAAGAGCAATACTTTGTATTGTTTTTTCCCTTTGTCTGCTCACTTTACTATTCAAAAGCAACAATAGGTTGTGCTTTGTATCCTTGTTCTACAGATAGTGGTTCCCTGGCAGGGAGAGAAAGGGGGCGGGGGAGCCAAACTCAGTCATAAAGTCCACTTTAGGCTTAGGTTCTATAAGGAGTAACTCCTGCTTCCACAAAAATGACTGTGAAAGCTTTCCATTTCAGTGGTGGTGGAATAGGAGCTCTAGAGCAACAGCAGCGAGTGTGCTGTCCCAGCCCTTTGTAGGGGCTTGGATCGTTTGAGCAAGCCACACAGCCAAAGAATGTAAAAGCACCCAGCTTTTCTAGAGTGGAGGGCATAGCAGAAATTCTTACAATTAATGTTGCTGCGACAGGAGTTCCTATAATTCTTGATTTCTGTATCTGACACTGGGAAAAGATCTCTTCATGCCACCACCTTTCACTGGAAGCAATATTGTTTTGTTTGGTTTGTTTTTTTTTCCTAGTATGGAGAAATTGGACAGGGGGGTATAATAATTTCTCAATCTTGTTGCATCTTCTGTGGGAAGTGGAAAGTTGACAGGCCTTTATGTAGCACACAATAGATTAGAAATGCAAACTTCCAAACAAAGCTGGGGCTTTTCTGGTGTTTTTTATTACTACTATTTTTAAAAAACTCAGTGCGTACATCTAGGTAAATTGTTGTGAAATGTTTGGAAAGGGGAATGGCCTGAATGCTCTTCTGAGGTTTTTTGGTTTTGTTTTTTTGTTTTTTTTGTTTTGGTTGGTTGGTTTTTGGTGGGGAGAAGGTTGCTTGTTTTCCTGTCAGTCAGACTTCTGATTGTGAGATTTACATGATACTAGCATTTCTATAAAAGTGACTTCAGGCTACATTTTGAACAGGAGTGTGAGCCAGTCTGAGAGTCGCATCCAATTTGGTTAATTGCTGTTAGTGGAAGGGTGCAAGATGATTAAAGTAGAGCTGACTCTTAAAGATATTCACTTTTGAGATGGGAAATCCTCGTGAATTTCAGTGCATGGTTGGACAGATACTTGTTTGTTCTTGAGTAAACAATGTGTCAGTATTCAGAAAATAACTGTTTAAAAAAATTACATTTTGTAGTTATGGAGTGTTGCTGTGGGAACTGCTTACAGGAGAAGTTCCTTACCGTGGCATTGATGGCCTTGCTGTGGCTTACGGAGTTGCTGTCAATAAGCTTACTTTGCCCATTCCATCTACCTGCCCTGAACCATTTGCAAAATTAATGAAAGGTATCTATGTTGTTTCTTCCTATGTATTTAAATAGTTATGTTCTGGGGGTATGTATCCTTGCCTGTAATAGTCATGGGGTTGCAAAATAAACACCTTGTTTGATGATGTGCTGTGTACAAAGTGTTTTGTTTTTCTTTAGACAGCAGTCTGCTGTTACAGACAGTTGAATGTGTTTTTGAGGAAGTCATACAGTATTACTGTGTACCGCATAAGTTCTTCGGTAGTGACAGAGTACATTTTTTGCTCCAGTTTTACTGATTTCCTTTTACACTGAAATTGCATTAATTTTCATAAACTACAGGATATACTACAGATCAATACAAGATCAAGATAAAAATCCAGAGGGGAAGAACTGCAAATGCCCATTTTTTTCCCTCATTGTTTCTTCCTGTGTGTCAAAAATGTTTCGAAGTACTTTAGAGAGAAGTAAACATTCCTTGCTAATGGCTATTTCCTTGTGTTTAATGAATTTCTTTACCTTTCATATGTATCCCTTCTGTGCAGTACTGCTAGTTTGCTATTTCAGATCCTAAAGATAGAGATGAAAAAAAATTGACTATTAATACGAAAACAGTCCTCTGAGTACAGGTAGGTAGATGTCACTTCTGTAAATGGACAAGGAACTAGGGAAGCCTTGCAGATAAAGGGAACACATTAGAACTTGAAGTACAGTAGCAAGTAACTTGAAATTCATGTAGTTCTTCAAAAAGTTCTGTGTACTATTAAAAACTGATGGGATTTTGATAAATTCTAGAATGCTGGGAGCAGGACCCTCATATCCGACCATCGTTTGCCTTAATTCTTGAACAGCTTACTGCCATTGAAGAGGCAGTTATGACTGAAATGCCTCAAGAGTCTTTCCATTCCATGCAAGATGACTGGAAATTGGAAATTCAGCAGATATTCAATGAATTGAGGACCAAGGAAAAAGTAAGTTGATTTTTCCAATTGCATGGCAGTGAAGGAAGGGTACGTGTGTTTGTGATACAGCAGTTTTGAACTTTTGAATTGTGGCTTACCAATATAATGCTAGAAACCTGATTTAGTAGAGAAGATACACTTGAGAGGTTAAACTACTTGGAAGAGAGGATTTACTCTCTCATTAAAACATTAATTTAAGTTGCCTATTCTTCTTGGTGGATGTACTATTCTTAAATTCCATTAATATGTTTATGGACAGTTGTCCTGGTTTCAGCTGAGATAGAGTTAGTTTTCTTCCTAGTAGCTGCATAGTGCTGTGTTTTGGATTTAGCATGAGAATGTTGATAACGCACTGATGTTTTAGTTGTCCCTAAGCAGTGTTTATACTAAGTCACGGACTTTTTAGCTTCCCATACTCCGCCAGCGAAGAGGTGCACAAGAAGCTGGGCGGGACTATAGCCAGGACAGCTGACCCAAACTGGCCAAAGGGATATTCCATACCGTATGACATCATGCTCAGTACATAAGCTGGGGGGAGTTGGCCGGGGGGCAGCAACTGCTGCATGGGGACTGGCTGGACATCGGTCAGCAAGTGGTGAGCAATTGCATCATGCATCAATTGCTTTGTATATTCTTCTACTGTTGGTGTTGTTATTATTATTATTTTACTTTTTTATTTCAATTATTAAACTGTTCTTATCTCAACCCATGAGTTTTCTCACTTTTACTCTTCCAATTCTCTCCCCCATCCC